AGGCACTGGAGCCAACATTCCTTTGCAGGCCGTGGTGATGACCATGGTGAAACAGCTGTGTGGCTGCAGCCCATGGGGATCCACGGAGGATGTGGAGATCCACCTGCAGTTCTTGGAGAAGGTGCCCACGCCAGAGCAGGTAGATGCCCAGAGGAGGCTGTGATGCAGTGGGAGACCTGGTGAAGAGAAGGGACCCCTGCTTCCAAACTGGAGCAGCCTGTCCTTGGAGGACTGCACCTCATGGAAGAGTGACCCTCCACCACAGCCATTATCGGAGGACTGCTGCTTGTGAGATGGGACCCACACTGGAGAAATTCTCAGATAACTGCCTCCCATGGGAAGGGAGACCATGGTCTCACAGGGGAATGACTTCTCTCCTTAAGCCAAGCAGAAGAAAACCTTGTGTGATGAGCTGACCCTCACCTCGTCTCCCTTCACTGTTGGTGGGAAGCAGGGAAGTGTTAGGGGAAAAATGGTATTTTTAAGGGCTTATTTTATTTCTCATTTTCCTGCTCTGATTTTGTTAGTAATAAATTCACTTAATATTTCTAAATTCAGCCCATTTTGCCCTTGGAGTGTTTTTTCCTGGTCCTTATCTCAGCTCATGAACCCTTCATTACATTTTTCTCTCCTCTGCCCAGCTGCAGCAGGGGAGGATGTGAGAGTGGCTTTCATGGATGCCTGGCATTTGGCCAGTGTGAAACCACAACATCCCCACAGGGTTAAAGGCTAATGATGACACCCTATGGCTGGAGATATCCCTTGAGTCAGTTGGGTTTGGCTATCCTGGCTGTGCCCCCTCCCAAATCCTTGTGCCCTCTGGACTGCTCACTATCAGAGTATGAGAAGCTGAAAATCCCTTGACTTTTAGGCTATACACTGTCCAGCAACAGCTAAAATGTACGTGTGTTACCAAAGTTGTCCTCCTCCTAAACCCAAAACATTGCATTGTACCAGCTCCTGGGAAGAAATAAACTCAATCCCAGCCCAAACCAGGACAATAATGAATGTAAATGGAGTTTAGATTCCAAAAGAAATTCCAAGGGACTGACATTAGTACACATCCCTAGGAATAGGAAAGCAAGCATGTTTTAAAGACTGACAGATACTTGTGACATTATATCACCTGGCTGAGTGAAAGCAGGCAAAGAAGACAAACCTTCTGAACCTGTGTTTGTCTGTGCAAAGGCTTCCACACAGACACACACACTTGCTTCTGCTCACACAACCCATGCTTCTGCTCATCCACATAGCTCCTTTATCTGTTAATCCTTGCTTTTGTCTTTGGGAAGTGGAATTGTGGGAATCCTTAAAATCAGAGGGTTTTGGGAAAATTGCAAAAGACAGGTCTCAGAGACAGCAAAACTGAGATGAGAGCTAAGCAGCAGCCATAAGATTTATCAGCAGAAAAATTATATAAGTAGAAAGTAAGGGCAAATAGAACAATGGTCTATGTATTAACGCTTGTCTAGCATAAATCTCTAAGCTAGAGAAAAGTATATCTAACAAGATATTAGGAAGTTCTAGGCTTGATAATGGAGCTCTGTACATTACATTTTAAGACTTACAAACAAGTGTATTCAAAATAAGCAAGCATGTTTTAACAAAAGGTACATGTGCTTATAGTAGTTGGATAGAACTACTGTCAATATGCTTTTGATGTGTGTGATTAGTCAAAAAACTTTTAAAGTAAGTTGTAACATTGAATTCTTGGTCTGCTGCCGGGGATGTGAGCTGCTGGCACCTTCCCATTGTCATAACCATGTAATAAGACTGATGCTGGAAAATAAACAACTCAAGATGTGTTCCTCGGCAGTCCCATCCTGTTTGTGATTTTACATAGACCCCTGGCCAGCAACACTGATGTCAAGCGGAAATAGATATCCAGCAATGTTAGTAAAAAATAATTAGTGATGTAGTAGCAGCAGTTCGGTTTAAAAAAAATGGCATATGTGATTCCTGTTTCTTGCCTTTTTTCTAATTCCCATCACCAAATGTTATGCATTCATGGCAAGGAATATTAGTAAAAAAAGTCAGGATGGTAGCCTATGAAGAAGAATCTTATTTCACACATCAAAGCTGGTAAGACAATGTGAATCAAATCAGTGATCTTTAGCTTAAAAAGAAAGAACAAGACATGCTAATTACTTCTTGTCTGTTCACAACATCAGTTTTGTCACCATGGGGAGAAGATAGTTACACACAGAGAATGTGCTTTTGAGCAGTGGCAGTTGGGGTATTACAGGATACTTCTGCAGTCATTCCTGAATTTAGAACTCAAGGAATGGAAAAGCAAGTAAATGTTTCAATTCTTCAGCCTTTGTACTTTGTGACTGGTGATTTAAAATGTCATGCTATTCATTAGCAAAACTGCTATCAATATGCCTCCTTCTAACAGCCCTTCCTTCTATCCTTTCTTCATTTTGATCAAATTCCAGGCAGAAGCTAAAATCTTGGGGAGAAGTTTTTATTGAAAAAAGAAAGCAAGGAAAATCAGAGATCACATGATACTGCAGCACTCCAGATACACATCAGCTACAACCCTCAGCTGCTCCAGCGACAGTTTCAGCTGATTTCCAATGGATACCTGATATTTAGCAGATTCAAATTTCAGCATGCAGAAACCAAACAGGAGTGTCATGTTGCTGCTGGGAATACTGAAAGTATTTAAGTGCTCATGTAAATCTTTAAGTACCAATTTATTAGAAAAATAAGCTAGCTCTGCTTTTACCAACACAAATTTTTAATTCATGTGCCAGTCAAACACTACATATGAGATCTGCACTGGCAGGAGGAATAGCATCACCATTTACAATTCAGTACTAGCAGTTAATGGATGTCAAGAGCATAGTTGCCTACTACAGCACAGGCATAGACAAGGGTACCCCAGAACCTATTCTGGACCCTGACACACTGACCCCATGTGGGTCCCCTACTCACCGTCTGCTTCAGTGTGGTGCTCACTGCAAGCATGCAGCACTTGCACACTGGCCCATGGGCACACTCCAGGCTTCTGTGTCCCCCTCAAAACCAGCACCCACTGTCTGTCCATGTGACACCCCTGCCCAGACCTGATGCCTCCCACTTTCCTGCTGGTCGTTTCTTGTTTGCTGGGGAATATATGTACAGCCCTGGGTTGGGGAGGGCATAGCCAGCACCAGGCTGACCTCTGTGCATTGCCCCATCAGCTGGCACCATTGCACCAGTACTTTCAACACCCCAGACCCTCAAGATTCCAGCCTCACTAAGTGCAAAGTTCTGTTTTGATGCAGTTTCCCCAGAGCCCCTGCACTAGATGTGATTGACAAGGTTGTTTTGTTGTCTTTTGGTCACAGACTAGACATACAAAACCATCAAGTCCTACTCCTCTTGAAGGACTGCCTGTCAGATTTACATCCCTCTATTTTGATTTCTGACTTTCCCTTTCCCGACTTTTTCCCCTTTTTCGTTAGGACCATTTGACAAGGTCCTTGATTAGATAACCTTTCCAAAGTGAACATGATAATGTTCCACACCCTCTTATTAATTAATGTGACCAGCCACCCCTGGCTCGCATTACAACCTCTCTTACCATCTCTCTGGTGGGTTTGTGTCATTATTCATGTTGTCCCACTTTTCCTACTAGTCCCTTCTGCACCTAAAATGTTCTTGACCAGAAATACTTCAAGGAGCAGCAGTTCTCTCTTTGCTCTCCTTCCTTCCCAACATTTCTTTTTCTTGAAATCTCCTATAAATGTTCCTGTTCCTTCACCTGTCTATAAAGCAGCAACCGGACAAGCTGGCATTGGAAAGAAAATTGATGAATGTTTCTATCTATCTTGATACAGACAAAATAACCCTCCAGTTCCTGAGGTAATGGTCACAGAGAACAAGCAGACAGCTTTCATTAGCAGCCAGATCTCACGTATCTCAATACAAGCTTCCAGCAATGCTCAGCCCTCTCACCCACCAAACCTTTTGGTGGATATCCTCAGGCTTTAGTTAAGGAGGAGTAATGTGTGGTTTACATGCAGCAAATGGCAGCTAACTCCTAAGTAAGAAAAAGCTTCAGCACACTGTCAACCTGTCTAGGTATTACTGAATGTCATCGCATAGAGAAAGGCTTCAACATGTGTCTTCCTGCTGCTGCTGCTTGGGATAGGCCTGGTGTGGTTTCTGCTGTAGCACAACTAGAGGCAGAATTAAACACTCTACATAACACCCAGCACAAGCATAAGGAGACACGCATCTGTTTTTAAGATATGTTAGCAACCCCCCCAACCAACTCTTAGATGTTCTTGTTTTGTTCCGCATATTTCTAGTTTTATTTCTGGTGCTTAAGTTCTCTTAAAGGTGTACTGAATTCCTTGTAGACAGTTGGCTGACAAATGCCTTCTCTATTCAGAACAGTTCAAAGGTGGTGGTGTTCTTCAGAGATCCTCCTATCATCATGTTAACACAAGAGCATGACAAAGTGCACAGGCTTGTTAAGCATCACTGAGGCTTCATAACAAGATAGCACAATGCTTTATATGGGATCAGTTTAAATCCTAGCACTCTTGACTTCACATTTACTGAAGCCCGGCCTATTTTGTACAAGACTGAGCATATAGTGTAACTCTGGGAACCACAGCTGTGACTTAGTTAATGATCTCAATAAATCCTACTTAAGCAGAGACAGGAAGAGAATTATGCAAATGACTATTACTGTGCACCATGCACTTGATAACTGAAGACATCCCACAATAAGCTTCAGCACATAAAACCAGCACTTTTTAAACCGGGATATGTGAAAAGTATGTAAGCAAGGGAATGGCTTACAGAATTTTGCTTCAGAAAAGTTGCAGTTGCAGAATATTTATTAAAGTCTAATATTAAAGGAAGCATACAGAAGGAATATGTACAAGGAAGGATGGTTAAAAACCCAAGACGACAGAGTTTTCACATATAGATGTGACGGTGATAAAGAATTATTGTCTGAAAAGGACTTTCTAAAACATTGTGATAAAAGACTCTGCCACTCACACTTGGCAGCTAGATAAGATGTCTTCTATCAGCCTCTTGTAGACCCAGGCATCACCTTTAAGCCGTTGTCGCCGGATACCCACTGCTTCAGGCTTAGTGAGCTGACATACTTCTAACTCAAACTCCATAGTTACTTTACCAAAATCTGACCGTGTTTGACATTTCAGGGTATAACTGTAAAACAGAAGGGAAAACAGAAACATTTCATATTTGTTTTGCAATGCTATTTTAAATCAATGGAAGCACTTTAAATAAAATACCCCATTGCTCTTCAGAATATTGTGAAACAGTCCACAATTTAGTGAGCTTTGTAAATACTGTGGTTTCAGGGAACCATATTTATTATTATGCCCTAGGACCAATATGCAGCATCAATGTCCTACACTGCCACAAGAGCCCCTGCTAGCCAAAGCCCCTTCTCCTCAGAGTGGGAACGATGGAAAGTTCCCATGTTTTTCCTAGACAAGATCACTCTCCTCTCTGTTGGCTGTAGCTCAGCCAGTGTGAAAATAGAAAAAACTGAATGCAGAGTTTGAATGATTACAATGGAAGCAGGTGCTGCTGTGCAATCCAGTATCCTTTTATATTATGAGTTTGGAAATGCATCAGAGGTTGATGTATACTCTGATGTTCTACCAATACCCAACATTGAAATACTCAAGAATTTGAGAAAATGCATATTGAACAGTGACCACAATGGTTATTTCACACATTGGGAACTCAGGAAATAGTCTTTCAGTTTGATCAAAAGTAAGAACCAATCTAACCAATCAGTAGCTTAGCGTAACTAGTAAACAGTACAAATTCAAATAATCCATAAAAAGCTGTGTGGCTTCTGCACACCTTTTAAAACAGACTGACCTCTTGCCTAAAAGGCTAATGTCTTTTAACTGCCAAGAATGAGAGTTAAAAGGCATCCACACTATTTTCCAAAACTGTCCCATTTGTTCATGTGACTGTATCTAAAACAACTTTTGGTATTTAAAATTTCACATGAGATGCTGATGTGATTTTTTCGTAAGCGTTACCCTGCTACTATTGGTTTATACCTTTTGGTGAAAGAGCTCTGCTAGAACACAGAACATAGTTTTGCACTGTTTGGGCATGTTTTATTGCATACATTTGTTTAGTGCTTTGTACACTTTCTATAAAGCTTATTTTACAATAGGGTCAAGAAACCAAGTTCAAAGCTTTTTAAGGAATGGACTAGCAACCATTTAGGCAAATACAAGTTGAACTAATCATATTTTACACTTACCCCTTCTGAACATATTCCACATGCTTCTTAGAAAGAACAATGATTATTTCATTCAACAGTTCATCTGGATTCAGCAGATGAGTGGTGGTAATGTTACAGTGTGCCTAAAAGTAACATTAAAAGTAACATCAGCTTGTTAAAACAATGAATAAAAAAATAAAAATCTCTCTCCTAAAACTGAGGACATTGCAAAAAGTTTTCACTAAGTTTCAGAACAGCTAACCATGGTGACAAATGCTTCAACATCCCAAAACTATCATCCTGCTGTATGGTCCAGAGCTGGGAAATGGCCGAAAGCTGAGACAGAGTGCTTCTGATGACAAGGAGCAGGAAATGCACCAGGCAACTTTTCATGTGTAAAGAAAAGAGGTTACTTACTACTTTTAAATTTCCTGTTATAGGCGGTTTTAATCACATCTAGTATTTAATTTAACAATCTTGTGCACTAAATCCCCTCTTGAACAAGTAGCAGATGCTCAGACATATTGGGAGGAAGAGTATGACAATGGTAACATACCAACATGTCCTATATCTGGCTTCTGAAGTCGCAGAAGCAGCCAAGGGAAGACAAGACTGAAAAAAAGCTTGAAAAATTAACATAGATTGAGGATGCAAAGTCAGTAGAAGAGTGCTTCCTGTGGTCCTTATTTGGATTTAAAGGTATGCAACTCTCTGACATAACTGCTGTAACACTGTCTTGCCATACTGCAGCGCAGTGTCTCCAGACATGCCTCAGGAATTTTGCATAGACTATAGACAAGAGAAACTGAGGCAGGAGACTAAAGGCATTTAGAGAAAGAATATCTAGCTTCCAGTTGCTCATCTTCCTGGATTATTTGCACAGTCTAGACTCCTGTCTGATCAGCTGGTCAGGTTCGTAGCCCAACATCTTGTCCTGAACATGCATGATTGACAGACAGTTCTCAGTGTGTAGTAGGTATTCCAGCAGCCAGTCAGTTGAAGGGGCACGTCATTGGCTTCTACACAACTGCTTATGCCTTGATAAACAACCTGTCCTCTTTCATGGTTATTATGTTTTCCAAACATGTTGCCTAAAGATTCAAGTACAATTTTTTTCTTGTATAGCTTCTGAAGTATATAAGTTGCATTTGAATGATGTATACAGAATCACTAGGGTTGGAATGGACCTCTGGAGATCATGCAATCCAATCCCCTTGACAAGTCAGGGTCCCTTACAGCAGGTTTCAAAGGAATATATCCAGGTGGGCTTGGAATGTCTCCAGAGAGGGAGATCCCATGACCACCCTGGGCAGCTTGTTTCTGTGCACTGCCACCCTCAATGTAAAGAAGCTCTTTCTCATGTTGAGGTTGAATGTGAGGTTATTTTATGGCCACTGCTCCTCAGCCTATCACTGGGCATCATTGAAGAGAGTCTAGCACCATCCTTTGACACCCCTTTCAGGTATTTATATGGATTGATGAGATCCCCTCTCAGCCTTCTCTTCTTTAGACTAAGCAGGCTCAGCTCCCAGTCTCTCTTCATAAGAGATGCTCCAGCCTCTGAATCATCTTTATGGCGTCCGCTGGACCCTCTACAGCAACTCCTTGTCTTTCTTTAACCTGGAGCCCAGAACTGAACACAGCCTTCCAGATGTTGGCTCAGCTGGGCAGGGCAGAGGGGCAGGATCCCCTCCTTGACCTGTTGGCCATACTCTTCCTGATGCATTCCAGGATCCCAGAGGCCCTCCTGGTCCCCAGGACACTGTCAGCTCATGGTCAGCTTGCCATCCACCAGCACCCCCAGGTCCTTCTCCACAGAGCCGGTCTCTTGTGATTGTTACTCACAATCTGTTCTGGTACTTGGGGTTGTTCCTCCCCTGGTGCAGGACCTGTAGTTGTCCTTGTTGGACCACCTTAGGTTTCTCTCTGCCCAACTTTACAGCCTATCAGGTTCCCACTTGAATGACATCACAGCCCCAAAGTGGATCAGCCAGATGCCCAGCTTAAAGACTGAGGCAAAGAAGGCATTCAGTAAATCTGCCTTCTCTCTTCTGTATCTTTCATTACCAGAACACCCATCTAGTTCAACAGCATTCCTGTGTTTTCCCTTATCTTACTTTTGCTGATGATGTACTTATAGAATACATTCTTGTTTTCATTGATATCATTTGCCAGGCTCAATTCCAAGTGGGCCTTAACTTTCCTAGTTTCATTCCTGCATATTCTGACAACATTCCTAGTATTCCTACATGGCTTGTCCCTTTTTCTCTATATCATACATTTCTTTCTTCCATTTGAGGTTCTCTAGAAGCTCTCTGCTCATTCATGCAGATCTCCTACTCCCTGTGCCTAACTTCTTTATCACAGGGATATACTGAATTTGAGCTTGGAAGAAGTGCTGCTGATCTGCTCTCTTGGACTCCCTTCGCTTCTGAAGCCCCATCATATGGGATTCCTCTAAGTAGATCTTTGAAGAAGTTGAAGTTAACTCTCTAGAAGTTTAGGTTTCTAGACGTATTACCACTCTGCTTCCACCACATAGATCCCATGACCCATTATCTCATGGTCACTACAGTTAAGGTCACTAGAGCCTTTACATCTTCACTCAGTCCCTCCTATTTTGTTAGTATAAGGTAAAGCAACACACCTTTCCTTGTTGGCTCTTCCACCACTTGCATCAAAAAGTTATCTTCAATAATCTGCAGGAAGTTCCTGGACTGTGTATGCTGTGCTGTGTTGTACCTCCAAGAAATCTTAAAGTGGCTGAAGTCCCCCATGAGAACCAGGGCCTGTAATCATGAGGCTACTTCCGTCTATCCACAGCAAGGCTCATCAACTTTCTCCCTCTGATCAGGTGAATTGTAGTAAACACCTGCAACAGTGTCACCTATTTTAACCTTTCCCTTAAATTCTCACCTCATTCACCTGACCCTGGGTAGAGCTCAATATGTTAACAGTTGGTCTCTAACATAATGAGCAACTCCACTTCCTCATCACACTGACTTGGCCATCCCTGGTAACATTTCAGCCCCAAAAGCTATTCCACCTCTTCCACCATGTTCACTGAGATTATGGCCCTGTGACCACACATAGATTTTTTTGTACTTGTTTATTCCCCATGCTGTACATGTTTGTGTCTAGGCATTTCATAGAGGTTATCGAGCAATTGGGTTGCACAGAATGGGTGTAAGAGCAATCACAACAGCAATGCACACTCTCAGCGTGGTTTGCTCTTTGATCCTCATCTTGAGAGGCAGCCAAGAAACATGTGTCACTGCACTGGTTGGCATGACCTAATCACCAATGACCTAACAAAAAAGGAAGTAATGGCAAAAGCATCACCATTTTGAACCCCACTCCTGAGTCCTTCAGTCTGAAGTCTGTCTCTCCAAATTGGCCAGGGGGCTGCCAAAGATTCTCTTGCCTGCTTTAGACAGCTGGATGCATTCCATCTCTGCTTAACAGGCTACAATCATTGAAGTACAACCCATTGTTATAAAAGGCAAAACCTTCTCAATGGCACCAGCCATGAAGCCAGATGTTGATCTGCACTATGCATTTGCTTCTGGCTGTCCCCTTTTCTCTCACTATGAGAAGATGACTTGGGCACCAGTTTTTACCTGCCTCACCAGGTATTAATAGTCTTCCTTGATCCTGTCTGTTGCTTGGCTTGCAGCATCTTTTGCTACCCACATGATAAGCTAGTAGCAGATAGCTGTCCATGCTCTTGAGAAGTTGGGGTACCCTCTCAGCATCATCATGGATCCTAGCATCTGGTAGGCAGCAAACTTCTTGTCACTCTTTATCAGGCCAGCAGATGGGTGTCTCTGTGCCCATTAATAGAGAGTCTCCCACTGCAAGTACTCAATGTTTCTTTTTATGGTAACCTTGCCTGTGGACATCTAAAACCTTTAAAGCTCCACATGTGGATTCAGTCTGAATGTTGGCATGTGGAAGTGGAATTGGAGCACTGTTTTTGTGGGTCACAAGGACTCAAAGTGTCTCCTGCTCAGTGGTATCCATTGTAGGTGGATGGTTCTGAAGCCACAACTATGTCCATTTCAGCCCCTCAGTTCAGCACAGCCTGTTAACTGTCTCTTCTTATTCACCCACCTGTGCACAGGCCATTAACCTGTGCACACTTTGTACCTTTTCTCTAGTAGAATAAGAAAAGGCTTTTAGTGAGCGATGTCTATACAAATAACACGACTAAAAACTGGTCAGCAGGGCTCCTTTCAAACCATGCTGCTTCCTTCATATTTGGCTTAGATGGGCTATAAGCAACAAACTCCTCCCTGGATCAGTTACCTGAACCCAGACTAACAGATAACTGAATGTGGTAACTGGGGCACTGTCTCATTATCAGCAATACTGTAAGAACACTTTACTGTAGAATTCAGGCAAGACAGGTCACAGAAGCTTTCACAAAACTGTTTCTGAAGCTACTGGATGTTTTCAGTCATAATTACTGTAAGATAACAATACATAGCTGATATAATTACTTAATATTATAATAATACCTCCTTTATGTAAGACCTTTACAGCAACCATACCTTAAGTTTCCTCGGACAGTCTCTAGTGCATCGTTTCTTCTTGCTTGGTGTAAGCATTGTGATCACTTTATCTAGGCCTCTTTCAAGACTTCCAAATATTTTGGCTTTTCTCTTCTTTTGGCTGCTATCCACATGTGCAAGGTTGAGATCTAATTCCAGTGACTGACACCTGTTAGATCAACAAATTAATCAGTTATTTTCCCCTCAGTGTTAAAAAACTATTATTTCAAAGATGTCATTAAAATATTAGCAGACATGACAGAACAAAGAAAATGAAATCAAGTGCAATGTATTACAGGAGTTTCTGTTTGAAAGTCTGTTGAAGTTTAAACCCAGAGATGTATCTAGAAATTGCAGTCCTTTGGGGGACCTGGAATAAGAAGGCACCTACATTATGAAAAATAGATGATATTGAGTTACATAGTTTTCAAACTTTTTTCTACCTTCATTATTTTCTAGTGACTGTAAAAAGAGGTTTTAGAAAGGTTTTTACCAAAAGAATAGGAACAACAGCTTGCTGTTGTAACAGGGCTTCCCAGGCAGCACATGGGTTAAGGTAGTCCTGCTCTAAATCAGGAATGTACACAACACTTACCTTCCTTCAGGAAGAATCTCAGCTGCTGACAATTCATCTGCATTTGTTGGGTTAGCAGGTTTTTTAATTGGGGTGACTGCAGTGTACTGGCTCTCTGAAAGAAAATGTCCAAGCCAAACTAGGTAAGTCTTTGTGTAAAATGATTTTCTTTTCTTCACTGATGATTTCTCATTATTAATAACTTAGTTCTAACACCAGACCCCCTTTTCTATCTCAGGTCTATATTTTGGGAATTATAAAATATGTTTTTAATACTACCTCTACTCTACAAATTAAAACTGTGACTGATTTCCTCAGGGAAAATACAAGTCAAACCTTAGGAGTAACCATTGCAGTTCAATATTAGAAATTTGAGGACTTAGAATTGCTTTCTTGCTCTGCTGCTGGTCCGTGAATAAATATGGAGCAATCCACTGCATTTACTAGTTGTGTTCTTCAGTGATCTGTTTGCCTTATATGAAGGGTGTAAATTTATATATCATGTTTAATATACAATTTACATGCCACACAATGGTCTAAAAAGTCACTGTCTACAGACCATGGTTTTAAATGCGCAGGAGAAAACACCAAGTGAAACAGTCAGCAAAGAAGTTGTCACAATTAAACCCAGCTTCAATGTTCAAAGTTTCAGCTCTCTACAGATTTGCACCTGCCTCCAGACAAACAACCTCAAAATTTCCAGTGGATTCTTCCACTTCTCTATTTCCTGAATTAAAGATCTTTCAACACAGCAAAGAATTAGCTTTCTTTGTTTAATCCTCAGAAATATCAATAAATAAATGAGCTAGAAGTGTTCCTACATTTCCCAATTTGGATAGTATCTCTTTTGTTTTTAGACATACACAGATGTCAGACTTATAAGTTATGTACAATCTTAAGGCAAACTCATAAACTAGTTTTTGTATTGCTATTCTTTATAAATGATCTCATTAAAGTACATAGTCTCATAGCAGTATGTTCAAAATTCCTTATTCCTCAAATCAGCCTGCAAAGACTTACTATTCCTGAACCAATGCTCCTTAGCAACTGAAATGAGTCTCCTATTGCAAGGAGCCTTTGGCATTTGAAGGTGAGTTAGCATTTACAGTATCAACACCAAAACTTTAGTAGTAATCATTGAATGAAATGGTAATGAACATATGGGATATGTACATGACTAGATATACTGATGACAGAAAGTTCTGGTAACTCAGAAAAGCTGACATATTTTGTACAGATTTCTGTGGTCTAATGCATAGCTGCAACACATGCAGGTTGTTCACAGAAGCATTTTCACTGCTATACTGGACTGCCCCTGTGAAAATGCTGATATGCAACCACAAGAAATCCAAAAGCTAGATTTCTCGTAGAACCAGCAATTAAAGCAGTATACTTTAATTTTTAAAAGTATGTTTTTATTTTCATTCCAGGTAATAACAAAGGAAAAACAGTGTTGAGGAAACTTCAATCTTCATGGAAAAGTGGAACCAGGTGCAAGCTTTAACAACAATGGAGTGCTTGGCTCCATCTTAGGGTATACCAAAAGGGGCTCACACATGATAATTGTGAGCAGCTGTAGCCATGATATTATGAAAAATCCTTTGCTGGGATTTTTCCTCTCCTGAGAAGCTGAGGAGCCTCAGGAGAGAAATGTAAACAATTACTATCTGCTGCTGTGGAATGCAACAGGTGCATCCATGATTGGTCCATGTGGATTGTTTTCCATTGATGACCAATCACAGCCACCTGTGCCAAGGCTGTGAGCAGTCACAGGATTTTGTTATGCTATGCTGTTCTATTCTTGTTGTAGCCTTCTGATCTCTCTGTTCTTTAGTATAGTCTCAATGTAGTATTTTAATATAATATTTAACATAATAAATCAGCCTTCTGAAATGGAGTCAAGCCTCGTGTCTCAACACGCGGAGAGTCCTCAACAGCCCACATGGAGCATCACCACTCCTACAAAATAAGGCAGTTTTTACCTGACTATCAAGCAACATTAAACTTCTCTGGGAAGCACTGGGTGCAGGTGTTTTTATTTTCATTCTAGGTAATAACAAAGGAAAAACAGTGCTGAGGAAACTTCAATCTCAATCTTCATGGAAAAGTGGAACCAGGTGCAAGCTTTAACAACAATGGAGTGCTTGGCTCCATCTTAGGGTATACCAAAACGGGCTCACACATGATAATTGTGAGCAGCTGTAGCCATGATATTATGAAAAATCCTTTGCTGGGATTTTTCCTCTCCTGAGAAGCTGAGGAGCCTCAGGAGAGAAATGTAAACAATTACTATCTGCTGCTGTGGAATGCAACAGGTGCATCTGTGATTGGTCCATGTGGATTGTTTTCCATTGATGACCAATTACAGCCACCTGTGCCAAGGCTGTGAGGAATCATAGGATTTTGTTATTCTATTCTATTCTGTTCTATTCTTGTTGTAGCCTTCTGATCTCTCTGTTCGTTAGTATAGTCTTAATGTAGCATTTTAATATAATATTTAACATAATAAATCAGCCTTCTGAAATGGAGTCAAGCCTTGTGTCTCCACACACGGAGAGTTCGCCACAACAAGCAGCAATACAACATGCCCTGATGGATGGTTAAGACTCTTGCAGCACCCTACCAGATGTACTAGAACAAACTGGGTGGTGCAATGGGCAAAAAAATTTAAGTGTCCCAGAAATAGATGTATTGGATGAAGAAATATTGTGCATATATCTTAGTTTCAGTGATTCCCAAGCAACATATATGTTCTAAGCTTTCATTAGTTACATTCTACATACCTTTGAAAGCAGGTGCCCGAAAGGGAACGGCTTCTACTTGTGTCTCAATCTGACTCTTTGCAAGAGGAGTCTTAGGAGCAGGAAGCGCAAAGGGCGTTTCGTTTCTTAAAGCTGACACTGTCTCAACATTCTCTTTGTTTTTATGCTTCTTTGATGCCACTTTTCTTGTCACTGGAGTTGACAGTGTGAATTCTGTATCCTCCAGTTGGGCATCAGGCCTTGAATGCTACAAGAGATGTAACAAAAAGAAAAAAGCCATTCTTTGCTGTATTCTGATCACATTCAGGAACATTACAGACACAGAAATTCTGAAGCAGGTTAAAAATATCATACAATGCTTAACTATAGAGCAGTGCTTAAAAACTCTTCAATACTTCTGATTCCCTCTACAACTTGCTCATAAGGTTTGCAAGTAATTTGCCGCTTCTTTACCAACTCTTCTAAATTCTTTAGATTGCACATTTAAGGCTATTCCTCACCAGCTCACCTAAGCACAGCTAGGAATTTCCATTTGGCTTAATTGTAAAATTTTAATTGCTTCATTTGATTTTCCCGTCCAATATAGAGAGGCTGCACTTCTTCAGAGACTTGTCCAACCGTAACCTAGGTCTGAGACCTTGTTTGTTGCATATTATTTTTTTCCAGTTGGTTTTAATATCCTTATTTACTAATTTTCTAGATGATCAAAGCTAAAGTTTTAGTCAAATTACCTACAGCTAGAGAAAGGCACAATGTATGTTCACCTATATATTTAAAACACTCCTTTACTCCATTTGTAACTCCACTAGGCTAGGGTCTACCAAATATTTACATATCCAGTAATTTTTATGTAGAATGAAAATAAGATCTTTTGGATTAAGAACACTGTATCAAACACCTGCTTCATTCCATGAGTATTTATACCAAATTTTTCTAATGGAGATTCTTCAAACAGTGAAGCTGTATCTGTAAATTCCATAAATACAAATGCCCATGACACTTCACTGCACTCTGGCATATCTTCACACATCACAGTTTTTTCAGACTGGAAAGAAATATTCAGTTGAGATTCTACTGCACACTTAAAAGTAAGATTTCATCAGAAAAGAGTGCCATTAAAGTCTAAATCAGTTCCTCATAATGAAAGTTCTCATGCTGGCAACCTAGGTTTTATAATATAACTTTAATGTTGTTGTAGATTTGTCATTTGTATGAAAAGCAAATGTGAAACTATTCTCAGAGCATCATTGCCAAATCATCTTTCTTGACTGGTGTCTTGAAGAGAAGCCACTCACAGAAATAGCCACCTTTGAATTCAAGGCTTGGACCACAACCTCTTTTTATCAAAACTCCTAGTAATAATTTGGAAAGAGTCCAAGAGAAGAATAGAGTAATGTTTAAAAGGGGGCTGGGTAAAGGTAACACATATATCTAAAACATATGACTACTGAATCCACAATACTAATTGGAACTAGCATTTGGAAACCCTCATCTGATGGCTAGCTCTGCCCTCCCCAAAAGCTGTCAGTTATTAAATCAAGGGATTTGTAACTCAAGCCAAGGTTGCTAACCTTCATGGTTCACATCACATACAAGCAGGTATACATCAAACCATCCTTACTCTCTAACATCTTTTTGTTACTTACAGGAAGCTCTTCCCAAGGACTTCATACCATTACAGCGAAACTGTACACAGTCATTTTAAATTGTCAGTCTTTGGATGAAATGTACACCATTATAAAAAGCTGGAATGGATGATATTTTAGTAACCTATGTTCTGCTGGTAGGTAAGTTTCTGTGGCCCCATGATCAAGGATATCACAATGAGCAGATCTCTCATTACTACTGGATAAACTCTAGAGCTTATATGATGCCTTACTCAAAAGCCCTGACCAGAGGTTTGCTAACTACAAGAAGCTGATACTGTAGTTGAAAGCACATTCCGTTAAACATGAATGCGTGATTAGGATACCTTGGCTGCTGTGTTCTAGATGTAATTCATGGCACGGTGACTATTTTGCAATATGCTTCTACATTAAACTGCTTGAAGTCAAAGTCAAGCAGTATTACATACAAGCTTGTGCCACAAAATTCAGAAATGGCCAAGTAAAATGTTCTGTTTGCTTGGTTGTCTTCACATTAGATCAGGTCCAGCTAGAGAGCTTTGCTAGCTGAGTGTTTTAGCAAATTCAGTTGATGTTCACCCAGGAGTTACATGTAGGCAAGTTAAACGTGTTCTGAGCACTGCAGGAGGACTAACGGATTGCTGCATTGTGTAGACATGAATTTCAGCATCATCTGGGAAGGCATAATGCATATGTTAATTGGTAGCATTTGCCAATTTACCTTGAACATTACTAGAGATGAAGTAGCTTAACAGTTCACCACAACTGAACCTAGCAAACCTCCACCTTAATCATCAGAGTGTAGAAGGCTAACCCACCACGATCACAGAAATCATATTATGCATATTCAGGAAAACTTGCAATTCATGATCTGTTATGCAGCTCTAGTAGTCCAAGAATTCTCATAGCAAAAGAGCTGTATGGATGAACTGAAATGATTTACATGCAACTGAATCAGATACACAGAATAAATCAAAGTATTTATTCTGAGTGCTTGCCACTAACACAGAAAGCAGCATACTTAGACCATGTCACAGATGTTTTGTCTCAAGGGGAAACAACTTATACAAGTCTGGAACTCCACTGAATGCTTTGGAATTTGTCAAATAGACTATTATCGCTGAATGTCACATATATTTGTGTATTATATACAACATTACAAGGAGTTTAGCAACTCTAGGCACCCTCTGAAAGGCCCTATCACAACCAAACTAGAGGAATAGAAATTTCCCTAAGATATACAAAACTACTTCAGAATCCCAATCATCAGAAAAACAGCAGCAACACCTTTACTTTACTCAAAGTAAACAGCTTCCTGTCTAGGATTATGTTCTCAAGGGAAACAGATGAGAAAGGGAAGACTACCTCTGATTTGATCACCAGCCCCCATAGTGCCTATGTCATCTCAGAGAACGCCGCCCAGGTGACGTATCATGAGGTAGCAAAAGATTTTCCTTACCAAATGCAACCCTCAAGGTAGGAAAAAAAAAAAAAAGACAAACAGAGTGCAGTTAGTCATCACAGAACAAGATCTGGAATCATCCAGGCCACAAAAGAGGGGACTTGAGCTCATTAACAAGGAGGGATTCTGTGCGACACTTGATGCATCAAATCCTCACAGATGGCTATTCTAGTAAAGCCAATCCAGAGAAGCAGCTTAGCTTGCTAAATCATGTTAATGAGACTGAACTCTTTAATGCCCAAGACTCTGGCTGACTGTGTACTTCACAGAATATTCTGAGATGGAAGTGACCCTCAAACATCACCAAGTCCAAGTCAAGTGAATGGGCTGTTGTCCTAGGTTACAATATACAGATGTAATCTATTCCCATTCTCAAGAGCTGTTGAAATCAGGAAGGGCATTGTTTTTTCCTTATCTCCTGTTAATGGGCCCAACAACACCTTTCCGCATGACTCAGAGACAACTCCCTGCAGGAGCCATTTTCTGTTGAATGGACCCACCGCATGACTAATAGAATGATAACAGCGCTTCCCGAGATGCTCCACCCAGGGGAGAGGAGATAAGGATCCCCTTCTGGATATAATCTGGGGTTTTGGGACACAACAAGCAGTCTTTCCACTGGAATCCCAGAAGAAAGGCCGCCTTTTCCACTGGGTCTTCAGAAGAAGACTACACCCTTCTACAGTATCACTGCTCCAACAGAACTACATCTGGCACTCTAGAAGGACTGCAGGCACCAATCCAACTGGACTGCTACCAACACCCTGACCAACAGCGTGTCAGGTTGTATTCTGACTCTGTCAGTGGTTTTTCTTTTGTATTATTGCATGTATTTTGGTTTGTTTGTTTGTTTTTTTTCCCTTTTCCTAATAAATTGTATTTCTGACTTGGAGTATTTCACTGGTTTTGCTTTCAAACCAGAACAGCTCTACAAGGATAAAAACCACTGTGGTGTTATTACCACCATGCTCTAACCAGAGCTAAACTCAGGCTTATGCTCTCTTCCTGATGTTTAGAGCACCAGAATGTCTCTCCAGGCAGAGCTTTGTCAATGCAGACCTGGATTTTAAGCAAGATGCTGTCCTGCAGAACTCAGGTTTACCTCAAGGACTGTCGACATCACGGTACTGGCATGCTCTGTTAGACATGGAAACCTTAAACGAACACGCTTGCCACGAGCCTTCTTGGATAGAAGCAAGAGGTATGTTGCTGACATGTGGTCGTATTTCCACTGTGGGGTCATGGAGAAAGAAAGAAAGAAAAAGTATTTAAATCTCATTGGAAACATTGCAAGTACAAGTATTCTGAGTATTTCTATGTATCTACAAGTTTTTCTACCTGATATGCAACCTTAATTACACATAACTGTAATTTCAGACTTTAAGTGACTTGCATTACATGCCTGAAATCAAGAAAAAGGCACTATGTTGGTTGTTCTTTGCAAGTTAGTTTGTAGTTCACGCAGTAGCATGGAAATGCTGGAGTGAAGATCTATCTACTGAAGGAAATGCAAACGTAGTAATTCGGTTTATCCAATACTTCAACAAGAGTATAAATTTTTTGGAAGTAGCTCCTGTCCATTCTTTCCTAACTGCCAACTCTTTGCATGATTTTCAGCAACTCTGTGTGTGAGGAACACAGACACCACTTTTGACGGGTTTGCAGCATAGTGTACTTAGTTTGAATAACTTATAAGGGATTAGAAGTCTTCCAGGAAAGGACTATGCAAATATCACAAACTTATTTGGATCTTATTTCCCCTCTGTAAACAGGTTATTCTGATTATTTGCTATAACTAAAGAACAAAGAGAATTAACTCCACAAGTCTGTTATAAGCATCACACACATTTTAAAAGTCTGTTTCTGCTACCGTTATGTGGAAAACCCAAGTGTTTTCAAAAACCCAAAATTATTGTCACTGCTAAGAAGTACAAAGAAGCAGAAAATTCAGTTTTAATATAGAATTTTCAGATTCAGGTAAAAGCTGGAGTTCACACTATGCTTTAAGTCTTTTTAACAGCCTGCAATGTTACTGCTAACATTTGCACAATTCTTCCAGAAGTATTCAGTTAAACTTTTGTCATTTGTCATCAAAAATGACTAAACATACTCACTATTTGTAAAAATCTGTGAATAGCAACACAAAAAGCCCCTGTATTTTGTAGACTGCCTGGGTGTTGTTGATTTTTTTTTCCTACTCTTTATTGAACAATTTCAAAGCAAAGAGTTAACCCAGCAAATGGTATCTGTTGTTAAATTATAAATTTCTACAAGTCTCTTCTGAGTTTCAGAGATTCAAAAGATTTTACCATAGTGGTACGATTTAGGAAACAGTAAGAGTTAGAAAACATGAAGATCACAATTAAAGGAGTAAAAGAAATAAATAAAATTGAACTTCCAAACCAGTAGCTTGTAGTTACAAGCTACAGCCAGATTCTAGAGTTCTGCAGGGCCTCCTTAAATCTGAAATACATGTAAAATGTCATACTTCGGAATATGTAAGTATTGGTCTAATAACACAGTACATTTATGTACTCTATTACTCTATTTAATCACGGTAAATTACTGACAAACTTCTTACCTCTTTTATTAATTGCAATATAGTCTCCCTGCTCTGCTCATGAAAGACAGAAAGCTCTGTTACACAGTCCTCATCAAGATCTCCCAGCTGCAACAACACAATGGATATTGATATGTGAGGTTTTCAATTTACCCCATAATCCAGTGACACTGTTGTGAAACCCAGTGGGCTGAGTCAATAGTCAATAGATAATTTTACACCTTGTATTTCAAATGTTTAGCATCACAGCTAAACATTGTAGGAAACAGACTGAAAAAGTCATACAACTTAAACAACTTCACAGCCTTAATCCTCACAGGTGAGGGTTTATAAATTCAAATAAGCCACCCAAAAGCTGGTAAGGTTTTTACTAGAATGGAAGGTACCCTTTCATCTGCCTATAATTATCCAAAGCTACAAGCTATGCCCATCTCTACCACAGTCAGGTTGCACTGATGGTGTGAGCACAGTCAAACTGTCTTTATCTAGGGTAACAGTGGCATCTAGTGGCAATGGGAAGCATTGGCTGTCAACATGCAGGAACTTTGCAGCACGTTTGGCTGACAGCCAGATTATTTTGGTTTTTCCCCTCTCCATACTGTCTTCATCTCTCACATAAATAAAACAAGTGACAGAAAGACAGGATGAATATTCTTTCAATGAAATTTTACTTTTCCAATTAAAAATTGAAAAAGTTTTAATTTCATTTAATTTCATTGGAATTTTTGAAAATTCCAATTTTCATTGAGAATTACATACAAGATGAACCATAACCACATCTAGCAAGACTTTCAAAATATTTGTGTTTTACACATTAAAGAAAGTACTGATGAATCAGCCTAGGGAAGGAGCTGCTCATTTATATGTAGAGGTACTTCACTTTTTTATGAGAATTCAGTTATTCCGCATATTCAGCTGCAGAATATAAGGAAAACATATTTGAAATTTCTTCTCAAGAGAAATCAAGACCAAGTAACAACATTTTGACAGCTAAAACAATCAGAAAAGAACCACAATCATCTCGAAGTTCATCTTGTAACAAACAATTTCATACCATGCACTACAAGGATGGTAGTTAGCCAGCAAATATTATGTGAAATACTTTAGTATCTATCTGACCAAAGTACTTACTGGGTATTTACTTTGCCACTGAACAGCATCAGAAAAACCTTGCATGAGCCAAGGGTGATTTAATAGATGTTGGACTGTAATCCGCTTCTTTGGGTTGACCTGGTATGCCATAAAAATCAAAGTGATACTTAAATTGTGGAGAAAAAGTGAAGAAACAATTGATCTTCCACACAGAACGCTAGGGTGGTTAGCAACAAAACCAGAAACCAATACTTTTTCAGAGCTTCACAAAAGGAAGCTCACACTCAAAGATCTTAGCTGTGAAGAGCAGTTATGGAACCTACAGCTACAATAGATCTCTCAGGGATATGCAGCATCGGCTAAATTCCTTAGGTGTAGCCCAAACATATGTTTGGGCCACAAAACAACTCTTGCTTTTATAGCACATGATGAAGAACCAAATGCATGCTGTTTGAAGACTTTGTTAAATCATGTATACTTTACTAATTATTTTTGAAATCAAACATTTTTCCCAAAGATTTTTTTGCTGAAGGCAATGGTAATCTTTTCTTCAAAAAATTGTAAGAATTAAACTTCTTATTTAAACACATCATGTTTTTTTAAATATCTCATTGATGTAATGTTTTGAACCAATTAAACAGTACTTTATACATCTATTGAACAGAAACAATAACCTTTACCTGCAGCATTTGGTCAAGGAGCTGTGTACTGCTAGGAGAGAGCCAGTTTGGAGTACTGTATTTTCCTCTCTGCAAAAAAAGAAGAGAATTTAGAACTAACACTGAGCCTCAAAAGGAACTACTAAATTATTTGGACAATAGTGATATGTGTGCTTTGTAAAAAAAGAACAGCAGGAAGATGTGAACTTAATTTAAAGAATTACTTGCATAAATGTCATGGCAGTACTAAAACCCAGCACTATTAGTAAGGAAAATACCATGTTTGGATCACCAGCTGCAGTTTTCATCCACTCTGTGGATGAAATGGAGTGCGCATTTCTGCCCACTTTTGCAGCTAACCTGCTCCTTTCTCCATCGCCTTGGTTCATCCTGTCAGCCTAGTACTGAAGTTCCAGAAGTGCAAACATACTGGATTATGATATTAGCACTTAGCAATGTGAAGATTCCCTGAAATCACTACTTTTCAGACAGTAAAATTACACTATCCTCAGTATTAGGATATTCTTTTTTGAATAAGTTACATCTAATGCTAAACTTTCAATCTCATATAGCAGACAGGAGAAAGGTTACAGATCTAGCAAGTGAGATTTTTTTCAAGATAAAAAAGATTTACAGTTATTAATTACAGTTGTTTTACTTTATTTTTTGTTTAGAAGAAAATTGGAATAAAAACAACTCCCAGAGGTGAGGTCTAACAGTAGCTGGAAACCAAACCAAATTCACCACCAAGAATCATTTATTTCTGAATGAAAACTGAGATAAAAATAAAAATCAGTACAAAGTCATTGTCAAGTAACATAACTATCATTTTGTAATGGCAGTTTTCTTTCTACAGACAAATACCTTAATGACAAAACTGTTGGTATTATATGCAGCCACATTTCTAAGTACAGCATGTATTGCGTTGACAGTACAGATGAAAGACTTTAAGTTACATCTTTACAGACACTACAAGTAAGTTATTTACGAATAGTTCTATAGGTTGTTTTACAACACAGCTTTACTATGAAACTATGTAACACAGGTAGTCTACATTTTGGCTTTAGTATAATGCCACAGAACACAACATAACAAAGAGCGATTCTCATCTCTTACTGTGGGCAATACTGGATGGTAAATAGGTTATGATATCTGCCAGGCACATAAGGTCATACCAGATGTAATTAATTTTTTACAGTAGTTATACCATAGCTTAATTTTTCAGTCAAAAAGTCAAGCCACTGCTTCACAAATGAAGAGAACAGTCCAGGGAATTAACACTGCATGTAAGGCATATCATTTTAATTAAATTCAAGCAGCAGATTTGACTTGGAGCAACAGGTTCGAGATGAAATTACAATAAATTTCAGAATTTAAAATGTGTGAAACCAATTCAACAATAGTGGGTGTCCTCATTTGAAACAATTTGAATTCACAACCACATAAAATTAATAAAATTAAAAATAAATTCAGAGTGGAAATAGCAAGTATGTGTCTTAAACACCTGCGACATGACTAGTTTTTGAATGCTCCCAGACTAAGCTGTAAAACCTCATTTGTAGTTTCAGCTTACTTCAACACATTCCACTGGCAGACACTGTGTTGCTCCAAACAACTCAGTTTATAGTTCCTGTCCAGGCTGAACAATGGTAACTACACAGAATCATTTTTGATATTCTTAATTAAGATCTCCATTTCACATCTGAGTTCTCAGCTTAGTGAATGCCTTAAGCAGTTGGATCATTTACCAGGTTCTGCATCTTGGTGTAATGAGCACCAAAAAGGGTTTTGTCATCCTATGGCAGCATGCTTACAAGTAGACACATTCTCAATGTGCTCTGACCTTCTGGGTAGACAACACAGTTCACACCACAAGCAGAGAGGGAAAAGCAGCTCAACAACCGCATTGTTTACACTTCATAGCAACTTCACTGAGAAATTAAGTGCTTGCTAGCATTATTTGGACAAGACTCCTAATCACAAGGTTTAGTTTAGGTAGTCCTGCAAAGAGCAGGAAGTTGGACTTTTTGCTCTCTTCCAAATCAAGATATTCTACGACTATATGAATTGGGAAGTCATGTAATTTTACTGGCATCTCAGCTGAACATTAACACCTTTACACAATCTCTTTGGATTAGGTAGTCTTTGCTTGTTTTTCCTTTTCTTAATATTTTAAAGTTCTCTTCAATAACTCAAACTAAGCTTCCTAGTCAAGGTACTTTCTTCTGTCAAGGTATTCAAGTGTACTCCAATTTCAGATTAAAAATCCACACTCTGTTGAAATAATCAAGTGCTTCATAGAGCTCAGACTGTTATGCACCCTGAAGATATTTTCTGTGCAAACCAGTGTCAGTTGCCCTCTGCCAAAGTGGTCCTTGAATACTCTCAAGGAGGGTTTTTTTGGTGTCTTTTTAAAGACATATCAGACTCTGTGAGAGGAGAATGAGGTAGAGGAATACAAAGCCATTACTCTACACTACTGTTCATCATCCTCCTCAGACCAAGCTTCATCAGCATAAATTTTTATGGCAGCTCAGAAGTGGCTGACAGAGATGCATGTGTGATGAGGAACAACAGCTGTTTAGCCACATCAAGAGGAGTTTACAGGGAAAGAATCAATAACTTAATTATACTATTTACTATTTATTCAACTCCTTTTGGAAGAGGAAAGTACAATAGCAGATGCAGAATCCTGCTTTTCCTAGACATGAGAGTGGCTGACATTCAAGAAGAGTATTTTTAGTAATTTTTAGGGAGAAGATAGATAAACACTCAGATATAAAAGTCCAGCCACTAGCAAGAAAATACTTTTCCTGAAACTCACTTTTCTACTGTATCATAGGACCAAGCTAGAGTACTGCACAGGCTGAGGGAAAACAGAAAGAAATCCTCAAAATGCTGATCAAAAGAGAAGCAAAGCATAACAAAATTCAGCAGAATTTTAAGCCTTTTTTGCTCAAAACAGAAAGTAAAAATTTCCCATAATGCTTCGTGATTCCTGTTCCTCATGTATTCTAGTATCTTCAATACCTACCATGATCTTCCTGTAGACAGCCATGACATTATCATCATCAAAGGGGAGAAAGCCACACAGCAGAGCATACAGTAGTACTCCCATACTCCAAATATCTGCCTAAAACATAAAAGTGAGAGTTCACAAACCTCATCTGTTTAAAATGGCTTAGAGACTGATTACATTGTCTCCTTTTGGCAAAGCCCACATGAAACTTGTGGAAAGTACGCTCCTTAACTCTGGACAGAACTCTTATAGTCCAAGTGAAAGCACACAATTTTAAATTCATTGAAACTAGAGCACTAATAAAACCATTATCCTTTTCCTTAGGTCACCAAATTGCTGCATTATCTTCAACCTACAAGGGATTCACTGACAAAAAGGAAATCAAATTCATCTAAAGGGCTTCTGTACTCAAAAGTGTTCATGATTATGACAGCTGTCAGTAGAGTAACATTCAGATTTAAAGCCCCACTGTTTCTTTTCTGTATAAACATGACAAGGTCTATGTGCCTCATACTGCAACTCCCACTTCAGTCATAAAGGTAAAGGAGGTCTGAGAAGCACTGACTTTGTAAAAAACTAAGAGAAAGCAAGACTTAGAGGCCAGGGACAGTGGTGCAAAGGAGGTAAAGGAAAAAAGACCGACTCTATCCAACAGCACAGACAGTTAGGAAGTTTGAGGAGATTGAAATTGCAGCATTTATAATGGAATGACAAGGGCATGTAGCAGACCCCAACATTCTAGATGTGGATTCAAAGCTGAATAAATGCTTGTTGTCTTTAATTTTACTACACTGCACAGTAAAAAGAGCAAGTTTTCATAGAAGATTTCAAAGGCAAAGTACACAAGATATTAAGACCGCATCGAAATTTGCCACAAGACTTGGAAAATGAACAGAACAAATTGCTGCTTGGAATAATGTGGTAGAAGGCAGTTACTTTTTGTAGAGCAACACCTGGGGACAGTGAAGGATTAGTCAGAGATGAAGAAGCCAGGTGCAGAACCTGTGGTCAGGAGCTATTCCAGGCTGTGACTGCTCTCAGTCACACAGCTTTTGACCGCCACTGAGGTAACATGACAGAGAATAAAGACACCAGGGGAGTATACCTGAATCTCACCAGCTTTAAATACATGGTGCACACGGAAAAAAAATACCCTAACCCACAATTGTATCACCTACCTCTGAGCCAATGTATGCTTTGCCCTGAATCAGCTCTGGTGCTGCATAAGCTAGGCTTCCACAGCAGGTGTTCAGATGGTAATCAAGGCCACCCTAGAATAAGACAAAACTGATGACAAAGAAGAATTCTCTGTAGCACAAACAGTGTCTTCTAGCAGCAACATATTAGAGGCCTCAGAGGCTCCATTTTCCAGTGCTGTCTATATACAGTCACCTAACATTTTCCTTTGGTATAATATATGGCTTCACCAAACAAAAACTGTCCAAAACCAGGAGACTCCTATAAACGTTCAAGACTCCAAGCTGCTCCTTCACATGTTCTCCCAGCAGCCTTTTCTGCAGCTCCTCCTGTGATAGGAATACTTCCCTTTGTGACCAGAAAAAAAAACCAGATGGAACTTGGGAATCAGTAATCCAAGAGCTACTGGGCATGAGGCTGGTTGGATATTTGTATCAATATTTAAGGCAATAACTTCATGAAGAGCCACTGAAATGCTTCCATATTAAAAATGTGTTATTCCTTAGCCTGGGCTTTGTTTTAAGTAGATCAGAGTGAGAAGACATTGTACCACCAAGATAGTGGTCTAATACTCCCAATTTCCTGCAAGGTGCTTTAACTTGACTCAGCTAAAGCAATCTGCAGACTTCAGATCAGTAAGATCTTCTTTCCATGAAATTCCTTCTTCCCAGAACCCATCTCATATGTGAATATGACAAACAGAGCAGCAACATAGAAATGAACTTTAAACTTGTTAACTTAGTGCTACCATGTGGATCCAGAGGCTTTGTAAAGGTAAGGAGAATCTATTTGATTTGATCCACAATCTCCACACATGATAAATCCTATGAAAATGACATGTTCCATTGAAAATTACTGGGGGCAAATGGACACCAACATTAGCTTTACAGTGCAAGCCTTTGTGGGAGTAGATACTCTACACACAAGGCAATCTGTTCCTTATATTGGGATGAAAGATGAAGTGCGAGAGGAGGAAAACTGATATTCTGCGCAAAAAAACTCTCACACTGGTGTGGCCCTACTAAGCAACTAGCAGTGGGACAATGATACCAACAGTTCGAATTCAGGGCAAAGCTCTGCACTGCACCCTGAAGTCACACCTCCAACTTTTATGTGTACACTGTAGCTGATTAAGTTCTGCTATGATAGCAACTGACACCCTTACCTTTGGCTTTGCACAGAGCCCAAAGTCTATCAGCTTCAGGTTATGTTCCTCATCAATCAGTAAATTTTCCTAGTAAAAGAGAAAGGGGTAATGAATTCTTACATAACGCCAGGTATCCAAGAAACCACACTTTCTTTCACCTTATTTTTTCTTGCCATTACCAGCCATAATTTACTTGAAGCTGTCCTCTGGAGATTTTGGTCTGTTGCTAATGAATATATCCTATATCCCAGATAAGGAATACAAGCTCCTATCTGCTCAGAGTGGCCTAGGGGGCTGCTACACAGAAAGCAAAAACTGTGAGGAAGCAGCCTGTCCTGGCAGAAAATGCAGCCAGTGATATCCCAGATGGTGTGAAAAGAAGCAGAGCTGGCAAAGTGGGGGAAGCCACTTGCCCTCTGTTCACCACAGTGAGAACAGCACATTCAGTTTCTGCCCACCCTCTAGCACTGGGAAGGACAGCAAACTGAGGTAAAGTCTGTGGATGGAAACCAGCCTGTCCAAGGTGATGGAGCACTTTTTCCATGAGGAGGCTGAGGGAGAGAGAGTTTTTCAGCCTGTAGGTGACAAAGCTCCAGTGGAGACCTCATGGCAGCCTTTTCGTTCCTACAAGGGGGGCATAGAGACAGTACTGGCCCTTCCAGAGGTCACAAGGTGGGATGACAATCAACAAGCCTCGGGAGACATTCAGACTGGTATTAAGAAAATGCCTTTCTCATTAAAAAGTAAGTGAAGAGCCTAACAGGTTTCCCAGCAACATTATGGTGCCTTATCCTAGGGAGAGGTCCAAGATGTGCCTGGATGAAGAAGTTTGATCTGACACTGTTTTAAACAGGAGATAAAAGCAGAAGCCACTAGAAGTCAATTCCCAACCAAGTTATCTCACAATCCTATGAATCCATCAGGTCTCCAGCTACAATCCAAATCTTACCAAGAGGGACACAGAAGGCTTTGCTTGCAGAGAAGCTCTTTGGAGACAAGGATTTCATGAGCTGTGTAGTAAAAGAGTTGTACCCAAAGAATTTGCTTTTCTCAGTTATCAGTGTCTCTGAACATGCAAACTTCTAACCCCTTCTAGGAGAAATAGCCTCAAGGCTTCCATTCCCTAAGCACATGCTTGATTCTTGTGGCGACAGCAAAGCCACAGGATCAGTTTTGTGGCACATCTCTTCTCCATCCTTACTTGTTTACACTGTGGGAGTCACATTTTCCTTTGAATATCGGAACAGTTTGCACAATAGAGAGGAACCCTAACTCTCCCTGGGTATGTGCTGGAATAAAGAGGATAGGAAAATGCCTAACCAGTCAAAATCAAATCTGTGTCTGCTCCACTCTCAACTGGAATGCATTATTCTGCTTCTCTTCCAGAGAAAGCTCCTTCCTCAGATACAGCTACATCCAGCTCAGTTGAGGAACAAAGCAATAAGTAGAAATAATGCTCTTTCAGCAAATGCTAACTAAAGAGCTCTAAGCACAGGAGAACAGAGAAGACAACTCACACCAGCTCCATTCAGAGAAATAAAAGTGGGTGTTCATTATTATTTGTGCAAATTCAACTACTGTTCAGACTTACTGGTTTGAGATCTCTGTGGGCATATCCCTGACTGTGCACATATGCAATTGCTGAAACAATCTGCCGAAAAAATATGCGAGCTTCCTCCTCGGAAAGGTGGTCCTTAGAAATTATGTAATCAAACAGCTCTCCTCCAGGACAGTACTGCATGAAAGCAGGAAAAATAAAAAAGAGTACATTTGGGACAGAGTCATGAAATGTGAACATGAACAAGGGCACTGTACAGCAGGAAGGCGCTCTTCTTTCCTTCCCTCTGCTTAATCCCAGCAGCACCCAGGCATGCCCCAGGCCAGTGTGCAACAGATCCAACAAGATTGCCCAACTCTTGCCTGATGCTTGCCACAGCCATATCACACTACCAGCACAGGTGACAGAAACTGCCCAAGACGTGACAACTCGGTGGCACTTCTCAGGTCCCACATATCCTGCTGGTGCTGTTTTTTGCAGTGTGAGGTGGGAATTAGTCAGTTTGTTTATTACAAACAGTGAAAAGTGGCTCTTATGAAGAGACAGAACACATTATTAGCTTCACTTTAAAACTACAGCACCTTGGACACACTCATCATTGAGATGATTTTCTAAGAATTGTTTCATTTGGACTCTACTACCATCTACTGCTATGGCTAAACCCAGAGATGTTTGCCATAGCAGAAACACCATGCCTTACCTCTAAAACCATGAATATTTTCTTGGGTGTCTCAATCACATGATACAACCGGCAAATGTGCTGGTGACTCAAGTCCTTCATGGCATCAATTTCTAATTTAACACGAGGCAAGTCATCCTAAAAGATCACAACAGCAAGGTATGAAATTGCCAAGGAGTTTGACAGCTTATACCTCAAAGTAAGCTCACACATCAGAACTGCTCAAACTCAAACCAGCACCAGCTCTCTCACAGCTCACCTGCTCTCTTCACACACTGGTCAGTAAAACCCAAAGAGGCAGATATACATTGCTACTGTTCTCATCAGCACTCCGTTTGACTTACAGTAGTTTATTTAGTTACTTAATATTTAAAGCTGTAACTACTTCAGTTTTACAGCCAGGGAATATTGCCCTCTTCACAGGAGGGCACAGGATTTGTGGCGCCATTAAAATTCTTTCAAGTTTACAGCATCTACCACTAGCTGACAGTGACAGGTTGCACCCGTGCTCCTGAGAGCTCCATAGGAGCAGCACATTACCACCTCTGAAGTATCTTTTGGATTACCTGTAAAGCAAGCTTGTCCATGATTTTTATTGCAACTTTTTCACCAGTGAGACGATGTCGTGCAAGTTTTACCTTTGCAAACCCACCTAGAATTTGAAACAGAAATGTATAAAACTTTGCATGGTGACAAGATTTCTCACCCTGATCTCAGTCGCCCTGAAGCAAATACCATATGCACAGCATGTAGCATCATTGCTAGAGGAAGAACCAATTGCTGCCAACACCTTCCAGTTACACTTCCACAGTTGTGGCCCGCAAAATACACCGAGAAAACGTGAACCACGGGCTCTGAAATAACAGTTAATCTATCAAACATCGAGATGAGTGGACACACCACATACACTTATTTACATTCACAGACTGAGCCCACCTGTGCCGACTGTTCCGTGTAATTCATAGTACTTGAGAATTTCCTCATAGTCATCTCCGGCCATTCTGCGACCCGTAGGACGCGGGCAGCTCTTCTCAGCACCTACAAGGGGAGACCGCAGATTGCGCTCATGCATGCTTTCGGGCACAGGAACCAACTCAGCAGCAGCCCCCGGGGAAGGCGGAGCGGCTGCTATTCCTACAGACCTGTCACGGCTCCCCGGAGAAAGGCGCGGGAGGGCCGCGATCCCAAATCGCAGCGGCCAGAAGACCCTCGAGTCCCACCCCGTTTCTTGGGGCGCTGCCGGCAGGAGCCGTCCCGAGTGTTACTCCTTCCCGAGGCAGAGACCCCCCAGCGGAGCAGCCTAGAGAGTCCGTTACCGTTCAAATGTCCCGCTTCCGGCCGCCGGGATCGAAAAGCCAATCTCCGCGCGCCGCCAAACCGGAACGGGCGTGGAAGGCACGGCTATCCCGTGAGGGAGGGATACAGGAGTTGGGGGCTGCCGGATGGCTGCTAACGGGGGCGGTCTCAGCCGAGACCAATCCCTACGGAGACAGAAAAGAGCGTTTGCTTCTCCCAGAAAGCGTGTACCCAGGAGCAGCGGTCGGGACTGGAGCCGGGTCCGCGCTGCCGAGGCTGGCGCCAGGCAGAAGATGGCGGGCGAGGCCGTTGCTCCGAGGAGGTGGTGCCTCCCGCCGCTCCCCGCGGACTTACCGGCCAAAGCCCTGGCCGGCCGTGCCTGCCGTTCCTAGCACCGCTCCTGGGCGTGCTGGGGCTGGCCTACCCGAGACACGGTGTCTCTCCGGGCCGGAGCAGCGCGGGGCAGGCGGGAGTCTCCATTGTGAGGTATATGTTTAGATGACTATTAATAGAAAACAAGTTCATTAATGCAGTATTGTAGCTTTCCTCTGTGCACGCGAAGAAACACAAGACAGTTTTTACCCCCGTCTACCAGCTATTTAAAGAGGCAGGAAATATGAGGGTGACGTGGTTGGAGGAAAGCGTGAGAGGAGAAAGGGCAGGAAACTTTACAGGAAGAGAGTGGGAAACATGACTAGAATAAGGACAGGAAAGATGAGGGGAAAAGTGTGAGAAGCATGAGGGGAAAAGAGTGGGAAACATGAGGGGAAAAATGACAGGATATTTGAGGAGATGAAAGGGCAGGGAAACAGTACGGGGAAAATGCAAGAAGTATGTGTGAGGGAAGTATGGCACATGTGAGGGGAAACGGGCAGGAAACATGGGGGGAAACTGGGTTGCAAAGTCATCAACTTTTATCAAAACACCCACAGCAGAATTAGCCTGTGTGGCTCCCTCAGGGTGCTGCACAGGCTCTGGGCCAGCCATATCTCTAGAGACTAGCCTGGCCATGGCAGTAGGGTGCTAATCCTCTGTCCCATCCTTGTGCTACTATACAGAGCCATCGAACAGCCTGTGCAGAGCCTGGAATGCCCTCCTGAAGCGGGATGACTGTTGCCAGCAAAGAGCACACTGCTTGCTGAGGGCATAGACTTCCATCTGGCAAGGTAAAGCTTGGACTGGTATGTGGCTATGCAGGCAAAATGCCTGTGTCTCTAGGGGACAGGATTAGGGAGTCCCTTGTCAGTAGAAGTTCATGGTCTTGTTCTTTTGGGATACCTCTTGTCACTTGGGACAGGCCCTAGACACTGTAGATTTCCTCTAGGGACAGATCTTAGTTGATGTAGTCTTTCCACTCTTCCTCCTTGTTAGCAAAGGCTCCATCCTTGGTCTTTGGCACTAACAGGACTAGTACCTCCAACTGTCCCTGCCTACTGCCTGCTGTGGGCATGGGCTTCCAACAAGCAAGGTAAAGGACTGGGTGAGCAGTACGTGCTGTGCAGTACAGCTGCCTGGCTCTGCCCCTGCACCTGTCACCTGCACACTGAAGGGAGAAGCTGTTACTGCTGCCTCTTGTGCCTCAGCAGCAAGAGATGCATGGTGCTCCCCTTCCTCAGGAGCTCAGACCAGAGCTGGCTCAGAGGATGTGGCACCCACTGGGGCAAGAGGTGCTCAGGTCACTAGCTCACTAGCTGCCTCTCCTGCTACTTCTGTGACCATGCTGCTGAGACAGGCCTCCTCTGGGAAGCAGTGTGAGGGTCCTTATTGTTCACTGGTCCCAAGGAGTTGTGCCAGGTGCTGTAGCTGACATCATCTTCCAATTAGGAAAGATCTTGGTCTTTCTTGTCTTGTCACTGAGACAGTTTTTGTTCATTGTCATCTTCCCTTTGGGAGAGCTCTTTGTCATTGCTGCCTTCCTCTTGGGACAGGTCTTGGTCTTTCTCCTGTTCCTGTTAGGACATTTTCTTTCCCATGGGAGACCTCTTTGTCCTTGTCATTTTCCTACTAGGGCATGCCTTTGTCAAAATGATCTTCATCTTGGGACATGTCTTTGTTATGTTCCTGCTGGGTAAATTTTTTGTCATTGACCTCTTCCCTTTTGGACAAGTCTTTGTCTTTCCTGTGTTTGCCTTGGGATATCTCTGTCATTCCCATCTTCCTCTTGGGAAATGTTTTTGTCATTGTTGTATTCCCATTATGACAGCTCTTTATCACTATATTTTTCTCACTGTGCCAACTCTTCATCTCCTGTATTCACCTTGAGACAGATCTTTCTCATTGTTTTCTTGTCTTTCAGCCAGTTCTTGGTCTTTTGTCTTCATTTTGGGACAGCACTTTGTCCTTGATATCTTCACTCAGCACAGCCTGTGCTATCCATCATTTTCCCACTATTTCTCTTCCTCAGATAAAGTGGCATGATTGGAAAATTTGGTTCCAGAAGGTCTAGCACCCTCTCATGATTTTTTCAAAATACTGAAAAATTTGTCTGGCATTCCTAAGCAGGGGCAGTCTGTGCTCTGCACAGGCTGGGCTTCTCATCTCCACTTCCTGTGAAGGCTCTGTCTTGAACACCATGCTCAGATCCTTTGCAGTCTTGTGGTACACCAGCAGAGTCCTGCTGCTGAGGTTGCATTTAACGATACTGCTCTGTCCAGTGCCATGTCCCTGCATCTCTCCCCAGGGGAAGCTAATGAAGCCATGCTGTCTGCTCAGTCTCACCATTCTGCTCTGTCTCTGTGTCTCTGGCTCCACATGCATTTCTTGTGAGGGATGTCATGCACAGGGATCTGGTTCTTCTTGTTTGCACCTGCAACATAGGCTTCTTGATGGTGTGGTGCAGCCCACAAGCTCTGAATATCTGTGGTTGTGCTCTGCTCAGTGTGGATGCCCTGAGCAATGGGAACAAGTAGGTGGCTGTTGCTGGCCACGGTGATGGCTGTTCTCCTGCCCTGGCAGAAGCAATCAGCTACTGGATTCTGCTGTCAGAGGAGGCAGCTTGTGTGTGCAGAAGTGCTGCTGCCTGTATTGCTAGCAGATGGGCTGTCTCTTCCAGTGTCACTCCAGGAGAAGGCAGTGACAAGGCAGTGACACACTGCACTAGACTGTTCATCTGCAAGACAATCTGAAGAGAGAAGCTGCCTGACTGTGGCCCTTGCTCCTCCTACCTGCCTGTCAGCAGTTCCTTGGGGTGGGAAGATGTTCAGTCCTATTTCACTCAGTGTCCATTGGTGTGATGTTCCCTGGCACCCTGCTGTACTTATAATATTTTATTAAAAATCCTTTCCTAGGATTTTTCCCCTCCTGAGGAGCTGGGAGCCCCAGGAAAGAAATGTAAACAATAACTATCTGCTGTTGTGGAATGCAACAAGTGCATCTTCCATTGGTTCCTATGGATTGTTTTCAATTGATGACCAATCACAGCCACCTGTGCTGAGGCTGTGAGCAGTCGCAAGATTTTTGTTATGCATTCTATTCTATTCCTGTTCTTTATAACCTTCTGATCTTTCTTTTCTCTCTGTTCTTTTAGTATAGTTTTAATGTAGTATTTTAGTATAATATATAACATAATAAATCAGCCTTCTGAGAAAAACGCAGTCAAGCCTTGTGTCTCCACACACAGAGTGTTCACCTCAACACCCTGCCCCCACAGAGAGATAAAACCTGGCTCTGGCTGCCTTGCAGCGTAGACTGCGTCTGCCTGTGGTTCAGCTGCATCTGCCTCAGGTCCACCTGTAGGAAGGTGGAAGCATGGGATGGAAGTGGCTGCCTTGGCCAGAGTAGAGCCCTGAGACAGCTTCATGATGCCCAGTGTGTACAAAGATACAGAAGTCAGTTTTTATCCTTGTCTGTGTAGCAATTGAGAATAATAGACCACCATTTTGTCATCAAGCAGGATTGTCTTTATTAAACACACTTGGGTATTTATATGTTTCTTCTGTGTACTAGTTTTAGGATCAATTACACAATCAGCCGGTAGGAGAGAGAAAGGAACCACACAAGATAAAGAAGAGTAGAGCTGATGTTTATAGCTCTTAAAATTAATCCCACAGACATTCACAGCCCAGTTTTCAGGGCTGTACGTCAAAGCACAGGTATTTATGGCTGTATTTGATCCTTTGGTATGCACTGTCCCATGGGAGAAGAGCTGTTAATCAAGGTCAGGATGGCCCAAGCAGGCCGCTTCTTCTACAATCTGTCAAGTTATTTAAAAGGTGGGGAATATGTGAGGAAAAGGACAGGAAACATGAGGTAAAAAAGGGAGGGAAATGTGAGGGAAGAAAAGTGCAGGAAACAGGAGGAGCAAATTGTAAGAAACATGAGGAAAGAAAAAGGCCTAGAAACTGTAGGGGGAAAAGGTTAGGACATGTGAGAAGAAAATTGTGAGAAACATAGGGGAAAATTGTGGGGAATAGGAGAAGAAAAGTGAAAATATGACTGAAGAAGGGTCATAAAACGTGAACTTCCCACTCCAGGTCCCATCACCGACTCTGGACTTCACCGCAGCCCCAGACCCTCCAGCTATCACTCAGCCTTGGATATTGCCAGCATCCACCAACAGTCCTGGACCTGCCCAGCTTCTGTCATGCAACCCTGGACCCTGGTGCTTCTTTCAGCTCCCATTACCTCCCATCAGGACCCAGTCAGCTCCCATCACCCATCTCTGGACTCAGCAAGTGCCTAGGCCCCAGCCCTTGGCTCCCAGGGACTCCAAATGGAGCAAACCTGGCATCCTCAGCACCGAAACCTCACACATGCAGTGTTCTGAATCGTGCCTCAGTCTTCATGAGCGGAATGATGCCCTGCTGGGGTCAGGATTTTCACCCGCTGGACCCCAGCTAGATGTTTTTCTTCACCAGATAGAAGGAGGGCAGCTCGAGTCCTGTAGAGGATTTTGTACACAGTTAGCTAGCTAACAAAGATCATGCTGGAATAATACCGTTAGTTAAGCAAGAAGGAGACGAGGATAGGAGTCAGAAATCAGTGTCTAAAAGCAGCAAGGTCACTGTGCCCTTGCTGAAACGTGAGGTTGTGGGAGAGGTTCACACACAAAGGGTACAGGATGAGTGGGATGTGAAAGGGAGTACAGCATTCGAGTACTGGGAGAGGAATGAATTTTCCCTGACTTAGATAAAGATACTTTCCCAGGGCATTCCTGAGATAGCTTTCACACCCCTACTTCACAATCCATGGAGTGGCATCTAATGCACCCCACACTGCATGCATTGAGGGAGGAACCTCAGACACACCTGCTACTCAACCTGGGCACACCCCCAGTCCAGCACTCCTGCCACCCACTGAGTCCTGTACTCCCCCTGGGAGCTCCACAATTCCTATTTTGGGACACCCCCCATGCCCTTCCCTGTCTGCTCCTTCTGAACTTTAATCCTTCCCCATAGCGCTTAAACAGATTTGGGGTGACAGCTGCTGGAGGAGTGTGCTGGGGGGATACCCCACACCTGGCCTTGTGGCTGAGCTCCCATCAGTTGATGATGAATCGTTATGGAGTCACACTCCTGAAAATGAAGTTAAACAAGGGAATGGCTTTGATGGCGTCAGAGGCTTGGAGGATGTGGTGACACCAGGGGACACACTGAACCCGAAGGTCATTACTAGCTCCCCCATATGTCCCCTTGCTCTTATATGGCTCCCCTGGTCCCCTATGTCCCCCCAAACTCAGCTGGCACCCCACATTGCAGCCACATACAGACTTTCAAGCCTCATAGCCACTGTCAGCCCCATAGGGTCCCCCTTGTATGCCATCAGATCTCCCCCCAGCCCACTGCAGTCCCTAATGTCATCCATCCCCATGTAGTGCCTATGACATGCAGAATCACAAAATATTCTGAGCTGGAAGGAATCTACAGAGGTTTGGTATGTCAGTACCATAACTGGTAAGCTAGTAAGATTGGGGATGAAGGAATCTTCATGCTTTTCCTTACCAGCTACTGAGTCTGTTGCTGACTATTGGCTGCTCTCAGATGATCATAGAGGAGTTCTTCCTGCTTGCCCCACTGCCTGCCCTGCCTGGGTGAAGCGCTGTGCAAGCTGCCATGCCAGGCACTCACTGCCATTCCATGCCATGCTCTGGGTTATGCACTCCTGTTCGCCTCACTCCAGGTCACTCAGACTTCCTAGAGCTGTTTAAATCTCCCTCGGATGCTCCTTGCACTGGCTCCTCCTCATCTGGTACCTGCTGAAGGCTGCCAAGTCCTGGTGAGGCTTGGAGCTGATGCTCAGGTGTTCCTGAGCTCAGAAACACCTCTATTCAGCTCAAAGACCAAGATACATGTGCCCATTACCCAGGCATCCTGCTCTTCTGTTTTTTCATGCCTCAGAACAGGGCTTGTAGCCATGATTGTGACATTACAGAAAAATCTCTGGGGTGAGGCCTCCCAATGACTAGGGGCACCATTCCTCACCCAGGCATCCTGCCCTTCTGCCCCCAGTTCCATGTCCCCATGGGGATCCACCAGCCATCCTTGTCCCTGCGTCCTCATGAAGGACCGACCAGCCCCCCTAATTCTTTGTCTCCATGGGGATCCACCAGCTCCCTTTGTCCCTGTGTCCTCATAAGGACCCACCAGGACTCCTGATCCCCATGTTCCAAATATCCCCCTTGTCTTCCATGTCCCCAGTGTCCCTTATGGGGTTGGAGGGAGTGTTGGGACCCACAGGGACATCAGTCATTCCTCCCAGTCACACATGTGGCACGTCAGCCCTTTTTGCAGTGCTTTTGTTCTTTGCACGTGTGACCTTTGCATTTCTTTTAAAAAAACTGCCACCATCTTGACCCATAAGGTGTTTTCCATCTTACCTTACCACAGTTCAGGCTCTGGCTGGGAAGCTCCTGAGGGGATAGTGGCCCCATGGCTCCACAACCCTTGTGACCTTATCCAGGAAATGCCCAGCCTGTGCCATGTGCAGTAGCAGCCGTGACTGGCCAGTTTTTTTCAGGCATCCTCAGGCTGGATCAGATGGAGAGGCTGCTAAAGGTCATGGCAACCATTCAGGAACCAGCTCTTGCCATAGTGTCAGCTTGCCACCTTGGAGCCCCCCAACAAAAGATCTTCCACATTTCACTGTGTCTGCTGCCTGAGGCTTGGAATCTCTGCAGGATGATACCAAGAGAACATTTGAATACTCATATGAACACTCTTAGTCCCATTTCTTAGAATAAAATGAATGAGAAGGCAACTCATGTTATGTACAAGGAGGAAGCAGTGTAACACAGCTAATAAACATTTCCAAATCCCAGTCTGGGAAAGCAAGACATGAGAAACGGGCCTGTCATGTCACTGAAATGCCAGGAAGAATAAAACTCTCTAACACTGTAATTTCAGTATTAGGAAGCAGATATTATTTTGGTGTCAGCTGTGGCGGACACTGCTCCTCCTGATGTGTACAACACATGTGAAGTTCCAAAATTATCAGTTATATACAAAGCATACGTAATGTCTAAATTCCCAGAATTCTCTGCTTCTCAGAAGCCATTTACATATGCAGAGGTGTACACCTTAAAGAGTAGCATGCACATGCAGTTTGGGAAATGGTCTGGTTTTGGGAATTTCCCCCACCTTCTTTTTCCCTTCATCATCACGTTACCTGAGAACAGGACTCAAGCATTGTCTCCTGCCCTGCTGGCTTGCCCTGCCTCTTGCCTTGGTTAGGCAACTTGTTTATGGTTTTTAAAAGTTTAAACAATGTGACTCAGGTTTTTTTTGATCCAGTTGAGATACTGTAAGCAATATGACTTTGGAGTATTTATGTCAGCCCCATCTGGGAAGGGTGTCCCCATTTGCAGCCACTGGGACCAGTGTGAGACCTGCCATACAGGGGCTGATGCTACGCCAGCCTTGATGCTGTCCCAGAGAAGTGGTGCCTCCAAGTGCTCCCTGCAGCTGCTCCTGTCCTGGCCTCAGCCTCCTGGGGTTGCTGTCCCCAGAACCACCATAGAGCCATCCTGCCCAAGATCCTGTGTCTCTCTGCCCTGGAGCAGTGTGGGTGTATGTTTAAATGATGAATAGACGATAGGTTCATTAATGCGTATTGCAGCTTTGTTGTGTATACACAGATAACACAAGGCAATTTGTTAACCTCATCTGTCAGTTATTTAAAAAGGAGGAAATGTGAGGGGGACAGGGCAGGACACAGGAGTGAAAAAGGGGAGGAAAGCATGAGGAGAGAAAAGGGCAGGAAACATGAGGAGGAAAGAGTAAGAAATGTGAGAGGACAAGAAGGTCAGGAAATGGGAGAGGAAAAGAGCATGAAACATGAGAAAAGTATGAGAAACTTGAGTGGGAAATTTTGAGAAGTGTGAGGGGACAAATGTGGGAAACATGAGGGGAGGAGTGTGGGAAGTGTGAGGGCAAGAAGGAGGAAACATGAGGGAAAAAGAGGGTAGGAAGTGTGACAGGCAGAGTGGGAGAAGGGTGAAGGGAAATGCTGGACAATGGGAGGTGGGAAAGGACAGGAAATCTTAGGAGAGGAAAGGGCAAGAAATGTGCCATGGAAAGTGTCAGAGGAAAGAAAGATGAGGGAAAATGTGTGAGAAATAGAAGGAGAAAGGGTAGGTGAAGGGAGAAAAAGGGCTGCCAATGTGGAGGGCAAAGTGGGACAAACGTGAGAGAAAAGTGTTGGAAATGTGAGAGGGGAAAGAGCAGGAAACTGAGGAGAGAAAAGGGCAAAGAAATGTGATGGAAGAAGTGTAAGAAATGTGAGAGGGAAGGTGTGAAAAAAGTAAGGGGAAAGCATGAGAAACACTAAGGGGAAGGTGTGAGGAAAAAAAAAGAAGTGAAGTGCAAGAAATATTAAGGGGAAAGTGTGAAAAATGTCCTTTGAAGGCTCTCTCTTGGACACCATGCTCAGATCCTTGGCAGTCTTGTGGTACACCAGCAGAGACCTGCTGCTGAGGTTGCATTTAACGATACTGCTCTGTCCAGTGCCATGTCCCTGCATCTCTGCCCAAGGAAGCTGATGAAGCCATGCTGTCTGCCCAATCGCACTGTTGTGCTGGATGCTGGCCAGTTCTCTGATTCCATATTTAGTTCTTGTGCAGAATGTCATGCATAGGGATCTGGTTCTTGTCCTTCACACCTGCAACACAGCCTTCATGGTGGTATGGTGCACTCCTCAAGTTCTGAACATCTGTAGCTGTATCCTGCTCAGTGTGGATGCCCTGAGCAGTGTGAACAAGCACTAGGTGGCTGTTGCTGTCTGTGGTGCTGGCCCTTCTCTCACCCCTGGCAGAAGCAGTCAGCTTCTGGCTGCTGCTGTCAGAGGAGGCAGCTTGCCGGTACATTGGTCGCTTGTGTGTGCAGGAGTGCTGCTGCCTATATTGCTGACAGATGGGCTGTCTCTTCCTGGTACAGATGGGGCAGTACCAGGCTGTTCATCTGAATATGATTAAGGGAGAAGTGTTGGAAACCAGGGACTAAAGGGCAGGAAGTGTGAAGTGACACCCTCTTTCAGTTGCTGTCAACTTGACCTGGAGCTGATAAACTCTTGTCACCTAGTCCCAGACACCCCTGTGTCTGTCACCCAGCCCCATATGTCACCAGTGCCCATAACTAGACCTGGACCTGGACCTGACCGGTTCTGGTCACCCAGCCCTGGGTCCCTGCAAAGATTGAGAGACACAGACCATGCTATACCAGCAAAGCCAGTTTATTACACTAGTCACCAGTATTTATGGTTGAAGACAAGGGCGAGAATGAGGCAGAGATCTTTTGTATGGGTTCCAAAGAGGTTTATTCTATGGAGGATCCAGGGATAAAAGACCATTACATCAGGTGTGCAGGATCTTTTATACAAGGGAGGATCCAGGGGAGGGCACAAATTTTCAACCAATAGGAAAAGGATTGGGGAGGAGCAGCAGGCAAGGTTTATGACACTCAAACCAATAGGATCATGCAGGGGGAGGGGAACAGTTTAAATAAACTAATAGGGCTTTGAATATTAGGTGATTTCCAAGGGGATTTCCAGAGCTGGGGGCAGGTACAAGGGGTGATTGACAACTGAGTAGGAGGAGGGACAGGGA